CTACATACAGAAATTATTTTCATTGAGTGCCTATGAGTTGATTTGAAAACTGGCACTAACTTAAAGAACATAATGAAAATGTGCTGTTTCCTTCAGCAGCACATAGACTAAAATTGGAAGGCTAGGTTAATCTGCCCCCTCTACAACAATAACATGCAAATTTGTGAGGCATTCAATGTATTTTTTTACATACTTTGTAGACTTGTACAATGATGCAATCACTCATCTGGAATGCATTTTGGTACTTCCTCAAAACCTGAACATAGACATTCCTATGAACCACCTATTCCACTGTTTGGAATATATCCCCAGAAAATGAGAACTGACTCACAATCGAACAGGCTTAGTGCTTTTCAACATCAGAGCTTACTTTTCAATGATCTTTTTTCCTCCCTAACTTGGCATGAGTAGGTTCAGGAAATGCTTACGCTGCAGCATTCTGAGCATGGCTGAAGTATTAAAATCTAAAATGTGTAGTATTTTATAGAGCTAAAGTGATGGAAAAACTTTGGCTGAATCAAAGGATCTGCACTCAATCTCTTGAATGTGGTTTTCCCCATCTGGAGTAGTGTTATACAATTTACATCATAAAGTTATTAAATTTTTTAAAACTACAAAAAAAATAGAGAAGTGAAGGTAAAACAGAGACATTGTACACCCGTGTTCATAGCAACATTATTCACCAATGCAAGAACATTGAAAAATGCCCAGATGACCAAGTACATTTGAATGGATTGAAAAATTATAATACACAAAGACACAATGAAATACTATGTCTTATGCAGGAGCTATAGTGTTGTAATGTATTATCTAATTTGTGAGGGACTAGGGAGTATTATGCTGAGTGAACTCAGTCCACTAAAAAGGAAAATATTGTATAAACCATTCTTATATAATGACCTTGAGGATCTGATGGCGGGAGGATGGAAGTAGAGTGCTGAGTAGGTCCACTCGTGGGGATTTTAATTATGGGATCGCAATATTTAAAATAGGAATGAACTTGTGAAAAACAGTGTATCCTAATTT